ATATATTTTTATTAATTTATATATAATATAATAAATTACTTCTATATACATTAATATAAAAGCATGGTAATAATTTATTCCAAACAAGTACAAGAAATTTATATATAAAAAGTAAATAGACATATAGTTGATATTCCTCTACTATATAGAATTGGTTACAAAATACTAGGTAAATTTCCACTTTTACAGACATGGTTGACACTAGAGAATATATTACAGTTAATATATTAACAAATTTTACTAATCAATGCTCTTGATAATAAATATAGCAATAATTTGCATTCAATTATTTAACGTCATCTATTTAAATAAAAATTATATTAAAAATTAATCTTCATATTATTCATCCTACAATGTCTTTAAGAGATATTTTCTGATGTTCTTATCAATATTTTATAGTTTTCCGTAAAATATATGATTCGTATTTGTAAAAATTATTTGATTGTCATATGATAATTGATAAAATTAGATATACTGTAAATCTACGACATATATTATTCCACTGTTTGTATTGATTGTGCTTTAATTTTTTTATTTAATTTATGATTTAATTTTATCAATAGTTTTATAATTATATTTTACTTTTATTAGGAAAAATAAATTAAAATTACTCACTATTATTTAGTAATTTATTGATCTATTATTATAATTATAATACATTTCACTTTTGTCATAAGACTTATCTTGCTTATATTACATTTCTTTAAAAACATTTTTGGTTTACTTTTTTAATATATAAATGCTTTATTCCATGGATAAATTATGATGAATAGTTTTAGTTTAAAAAAATATCAACTTTTACATTCTTTCTAATTATTGTTTAAGGTGCTTACATTTTGGGGGTCAGTGAGTAGGGGGAGGACTAAGGGAGATATTTTTTTATTAGCTTAAAATGATATTCACAAAAAGTGTTAAATATTTGAAAGGGGAGGGGAAAATATTCCCTTGCCCCCCCCCTCACCCCCCGGCTACGCCTATGGAAGAGTTGCTAATATATATAAACCCTTTTAATACATTGGAAATATTATCTAAAATATGTTTGAAATGCAAAGCATCCATAGCATTTTTTTAAGACTATATCAACCATATTTAATATAAACATAGTTATTCAGCTAATAAGGCATCATAAGATATTTTAACATCTTAAATCTAATAATTATTTATTTTTTCTATCACCATCTGAAAAAGGTTGGTAAGGCTTTTATGGAAGTAATATTTGCAGATTGGTAAGTGTTGCATGATGAATTAAAAGCCATTCATTTATTTGGGTTATAAATGTATCTAGAAGAGGGGACATTTGTATAATACTCTTCTACTGATCCTAAACGTTGAGCTTCTCATGCTGCAGGTCGAGGGAGACAAATATTAAACGTATATCTTTGCTTTTGACTCAACAATAACATAAAATATGAAATTCTGCATCAACATTAGCCCTAATTTCCTTGAGTTCTAATAAGATTCTCTCCGATATTCTCATCTTCTTAATCAAGTCATTGTCATGTTTTTGAAAAGTATTACATATTGTTATATAATTAAATAATACATTCTAATGAGGGAAAAAATTTGGAATAAGCATTGAATCCAATAATTTTCTTGCTTCTGAAGAAATATTTTTTTTAGGCCATTGTGATATTTCAGTAATAGCAAATAATCGGCTCTTCTAACTCCATAAAAGTTGTTACTGCTTGATGGCGAGGACTCTATCTCGTTGGACAAGCTTGCAATTTCTTTCTCCCTGTTGGGCAATGAGTTTCAGAAATTATTATTTAACTAGAAATTTGAAAATGGTAGATAAATATTACGCCACTAAAAAATAGAAAATAATAAGTAAATATCACGCCGGAAGAAAACGAAATTAATTGATAAAATATCTTAGTAGATTTGTGTGATAAATAAATGTTATAAAATATTTAATATGAGATAAGAATAATTATTAACAAATATAATTAATATAAACAATAATATTTCTGAAAAATATATTCGGCATCTGCTTTTTTTGGCTTTGAGGGGAGAGGAAATTTCTTCCCCCCCCCGCTGCGTACACGCCTGATCGTACGTCTAGAATTGGAGTGCCCCACTTGACATTTTCAAAATTTTTGAGTTAGAAGTGGTAATAACTTTAACTTATTCATTGCAAATAAAAACTAGTTTAAAAAATATAAATTTTTGCCAAAGTTATAGCTCTGTCAAAATTGTCCAATAAGCTTATATATTTGATTTTAATCTTTAATGTTGATTTTCCATTTTAAACATTTGCGCAAGTGGAGCACTCCAATTCTATGCCGACGTTTATTATATTTGTCTAATTATTCTAATTTTGGTTCGAAGTTAATGGACATTTTCTTTAAATTCAGAAGAATCATTAATTTAATGAACAAGATTCAGTGGCATCGCTAGGGGGGAAGCGCAGGGGCTCGAGCCCCCTAAAAAGTTTGAATAGCCCCCTGAAGCAAAATTTTTTTTTTAATGGTTCCTTAATATCCCCTTGAGCTAAAAATAAATGTTTTTAATTGCCCTCTGAATAATTTCTTTTATAATTATATTGAATCATATATAGATTTAATTTATTAAAAAATTAATAAGACTATCTTAATTTTTATTAAATGAAAACTTATTTAAATATTAGATTAGATTATTACATATAAATTATACTATGTCAGCTTGCAATCAAATTCTATGTTAAAAATATAACAATATCATTCACTAAATATTAATTTAGCATTATCAGTTGAAGCTTAATTGACCTTTATTATTTAAATTATTATATAACCCTAATTAAAAATTTAATCATTTATTAATTGAAAATTAATAATTTAATATTTTAGCCGAGTTCAAAATCACTAATCAACTATATTATTGATTTTTAAATTTAATTATCATGTCTTTTCCTAAAATTATTTTCAAGGTCCAAATCCAAATAAGTATAAAAGATTTATTTATAAAAAGTAAGTAGACATATAGTTTATAATCCTCTATTATATATAATTTTTTATAAAATATTAAGTAAAATGCCACTTTTACAGATGTATCTGACAGTTATATAATATATTACAGTTAATATTTTAAAACTTTACTAATAAATGCTTTTGATAATAAATATAAGTAATAATTTGCTTACAAATATTTAACTCCATCTATTTATTTACAATATAATTAAAATTAAGCGTATTATTATTCATCCTACTATGAATGTAATAAATTAGATATCTTTTCTTCTCTTTTTTACGTGTTTTTAAGAAGCTATTTTCTTCTTCGGAATATAGATTTGAGTTAAATTTTTAATACGAATATATTTTTAATATTATTACAAACTAATATTATTTTAAAATATAATATGCCAACTAGAGATGGTGCGACAATAATATATAAAATCCTAAATGCTTTCATGATATCACTCTAGTTCTTATTTTGTAGTTACAAAATGTTTCATTTCTAATATGGCATTTTTGCCGTGTAAATAACTCAAGGCTTCAATATATTTGCATAATTACTTCTAAATGTTTTTAATGTTTTTGTTTTATCAAATTATCTAACAGAATAAATTCTGATATGGGTTACCATCGTGAGTGTCATGCCTAGGACTGCAAATTAACCAGCATCTATTATTTGTGTGGCCATGTAATTTAAGATTATTACTATAGCTGCTGAGAGCATATGATCGCATAATTTATATAAGCAATAATGGTCAACTGTGTAGCCGTTTATATATCATTAAAAATGGAAGATAATCTCATAGAAATTTAATATACAATAATTTTCTCGATAGCTTCCATCCCACCATATAGTTTATGATTTAGATTGGTCGTTTATATTCTCTTCTTCAAGAATTGTTAATTTGGTAAAGTTTATAAATTTATTCTTATTAGTCTATTCTATAAAACATTGTCAAAAATGGTAATAGAGAGTTATATTAGTTTCATGACCTTTTGTCAATGTAAGTTGCTAATATTATATTATATTATGTAGTTTTCAAAAACCATTATCAATTGAGGCATATATATATGAATTAATTAACCGTTTTTACCATTTATAATTCTTTAGGCGCAAATTTTTTTTATATCAACAATCAAAAATATTTTATACTGTATGTAATTAATAGATTTTGTATTAAAAAGTATTATTTTTAGAAATGTCGTATATTTTAATGATTTATATGCTAGTTAATTTTGACACAAAGTATAATAAATGACATTCAGTATAATTATTTAGAGTTAGTTAATTTTAAAAAAGTATAATATATTAATATAAAACCCGGCCGAAGGCCGGATAAAAGCGGGCCGAAGGCCCGCGAATTGAGAAATATGGGGCTTCGCTCCCCATAAATTTTTTTTTAGTTTAGCCCCCTGAGATTGTAAAGGCTAGCGACGCCCCTGACAAGATTGTATTACAATTTTATTGATTTTCAGTTTAGTAGATAGTTTTATTTTGTATTTGTATATTTTTTAAACGAAAAGAGTTATGATAATTGCAATGATATATATATATAATATCATTGGATAATTGTAAAAGATGAAATATAATTTTATTTTTATAATCATATTTGTATGAAAAAAAATATATGTTTACTGACGATAAATATATATTTTTAAATAAGTAAATTTGCTTTTAATGGAAATTTACACTGGTAAATAAAATTTAACTAACTCGTTTAAAAATATAAGAAGTGTAGTTATAAATGAAATATAAAATTTTGATTATTTTACATTAATTATATAAAAAGTAAAGTGATTTCGTAAAAAATTACCCTCAAACAAAATGCTCAAGTATATTACTGCATGTAACATAGGTTTAGCATAGTAGACAGAAGGGGAGAGGTTCCTACCCATAAGAAATTTTCAATATCACTTTAAGCTAATAAAGATTAATTCTAGTACTTTTTCCACCATATATACAATATACTTCTTAAGATACAAATTTTTGTATTGTTCTTATTAATTCAATTCTAAATGATATATGTAACATAATATAGAAATATCTTTAACGCCCTCTACAATTAAATTTCAATTCCTTATATCTCTTCTCGCTTTTTCGCTGTTCGCAGGTATATATAGCCATTTTGAAAAATAAATAAAATTATAAGGGTACATTATCTTTAAATGATTGCATATATAATAAATAATTTTGATCTACATCTTCTGGATTTATAATGAAATAACATTTTAATATATTGAAATTTTTTTTTTAAATTATCTGATTTAAACAACTTTATTATTTTACTATTAAATGATGAAATATCTATAAATGATTAACTTATCAAATAAATTACTCATAAAATTATTATATTAATACGCACATATTTGATTTGATTTGACTACTAATTATATAAAATTTATATTGTGGTCTTTATATATACATTTAAATTATATTTTCTGTTTGATAAGAAGTTTTTAATTTTTATCAGCCAAAAGGCCAAAACTTAAAAACAGGAAATGTTTTGTTTTTAATCTAAGACCATAAATTCAGAAAACTATGCTGATCTACTTTTTTTAATTTTATAAAACTTAGTCTAACACCTGTTCTGTAGTATGTAGGTCAAAGGCCTCCATGGACTAGCTGGGCTTAACTCTAAATTAAAAATAAGATACACTAATTAAATTGAAATGTATTGGTTTAACCTGCCTATCTACTTATGGTTTATGAGAAATTGGCCTGCTCATTTATTGAAAAATTTTGCTTGGCCTCATTACATTACTTAATTTGTTATTTTGACTTTTTTTTATAATATATATAAACTTAAATTTATAAAATTCAATATTATATTATAAAAAATTAATATAACTTTTTCAAACTCATTCTATCTGAAAATTTTTAATCATCAACCAACCCATTATTTTAAAAATATTTTTAACTCCAGCCAATAGCAGATATTAAGTACTGATACCTGTTATTGTTACCTAAATAGTGTTTATTAAAAAAGAAGAAAACTATAATTCATTATATTTATTTATTTATTTATATATGAGAATTAACATCAGGTCAGGGTCATATTCTTATATGGTTTATGGATGAAATGAATCAAGCTTTGTATATTTAATAAGTTATAAATTTTACTAAAATCAATATAAAGTTCTAACTTACCTAGACTCAGAATTGTATGGCTCCAAAGTCCTGTCCAGTCATGATTTTGTGATTTTGAAATGAATGTCAAATGAAAATAATTTTGCTGGAAAAGTCACAGATAAAACATCATTTTTTCACTGCTAAAATTCTTCAGGGTTTCCAGTAAAACAATTTTTTTATATTTTGAGTAAGCAACATTTACTTAAAAAACATTTTCTCCAAATATCCCTGAATGAGTAATACCATCATTTTTTTAATTTGCATTTTTCTAAAGATAATTTTATGTGCTACAAATTATTATATTATTATTTTTTCAACAATATTTTTTGATTAATCTGAAATTTATTAAAATAAGATTATGTCTATCCCACAATTTCATAACTCCAGATCTAATTTAACTAGAGCTCAAAAATTTTGGTTTGGGTAAAATTTATAACTTAAACTACATACAATTTCACTTTAGGAATAAAAAAGCATGGGTTTTAATTCATAAATTTTTTAACAATTCATCTTAATGCCAGCTTAAAAATTAAATTTTGAGGGTTAGTTTCCATTTTTATTTAGGTATTGGTTAAACTATATACTGGCCTAGTTTAATGTTATTTATTTTTTTAGATTGGCCAGGCAATTAATAATGTACATAGCTGTCTTGCCATGAACACCATATGGATACAAAACCAATGCTCAAAAAATTATATTTGTATTTTTTTGAAAATTATGAAATTATAATAAGTTCAATACCTGATATTTATTAGTATTTAAAATACAAATACTAAATGTTCTCTAAAATATTCAAATAAATACAAAAAAGTATTTGGTATTTTAATTACAAGTATTCATGTTTCTGCCACATCTGAGTATCAACACAATTTAAAATTTAATTCATTACAAATAAATATCTATATTTATAATTTAGAATTATGTGTTTAAAAAAATATAGAAAACATTTTAAATTTTCTTGGGAATTTAGGTTAAAACTTGCAACTTTTATTTTTATATAATTATGCATTATTTATTTCTATTTAAAAAACAATTATTCTAATATTCGATTGTTTGTGAATGGGCTTAAAACCAATATTAGAGATGCACCATTATCACCTTTTGGCCGATATTAGTACTAAAACCAATACCTATATCAATTTATTATTGGTCAAAACTAGGATTTTAATTATATTGGGTGTTTTTTTAAAAAAAAAACAAACATAATTTCATCATTTTTTCCATTTTATCATTATAGAATTAATTTATAAAGTTAAAGAAATTAAAAGAAACAGGAAAAAATAAATAGCACTCCTTTTAGTTTGCTATTTTGTATTTTTTTTTATTATTAATCCATGGCTTATATATAAAATATTATAATCAATTATGTAATTATCATTTTTGAATATTAGTTATACATTACCGATACAAATGTATTTTTTTAGAAAAGGCAAAATATAAAAGTGTAAAATATTTTATATACACTACTGGCCATAAATTGCCCACCCTGCATTTTCTTAACATTTTTCTTAAAATAAGACAAATAACACAATATGAGGTTCAAATTTATTTATAAGTTTACATATTAATACATAAAATAAAAGGCATAGCAATTAATTAAGATCAAATTTTGGTCTCATCAATATGACCACCTGTATTCTTAATAATTGCTGCACAAATTTTTGGTAATTTTTCGATGAGATTTTTTAAATACTCGGAAGTGATATTGTTCCATTCTCTCTGTAATACTTCCCAAAGGTGCGAATGAGAGGTTAGAGGACTTTTTCACGCTTGGCAATCAAGGTGATCACATAAAAGTTCAATTGGATTGAGATCTGGGGACTGGGATGGCCAAGTCATCAACTTGAGAACACCATGTTGTAGATTTTGTAAATAATCTTTGCATAGCCTGGATTTATGCTTTGGATTAGAGGTCTTCAAAGTTAGGCCTGGCCCAAACGGGTTTTGGACCGGGCTTGGGCCTAATATTTATAAAAAAAATTTGGGCCGGGTTGGGTCAGACCTTGGAAATTTTATTAAATATATCTAAATTTATCAATTTTATATTGAATTTTTTATGTAAATAAAAATTTTTGATTTAATTGAAACTAAACGCTATATAGCATATGCCTTTTATTTTAAATAATTATAAAAAAAAATTTCTATATTCAAATAAATTCGGGCCTGGCCGGGCCGGTAAATTTTTTAAAAATAAATATTGAGTTCGGGCCGGGCCGGCAAATCTTTTTTAAAAAAATATCGGGCCGGGCTTGAAAAATTAGGCCCGATGCTGATCACTACTTTGGATCATTATCTTGTTGAAATAAAAAGTTATTCCCGATCAAACGCTTTCCTGATGAAATCACATGGTACTCAATGATTTGCCGCTATCCATCTTTGTTAAGGATTCTTTTAATTTTGACAATGTCGCCGGTTGCCCCGGCACCAAAGCACCCCCACACCATAGCAGACCCTCCCCCGAATTTGACCATAGGAATTATGCAGTGATCGCTCTCCAGCTGAGCGGAGGATATATTGCCTTCTTTTAGAACCGAAGCGAATTTTGACCCATCACTCCATAAGACGTGGTACCAGTTGACAGATGTCCAAAATTGATGTTTTCCAGTCTAATTGCTTGAGTTTATTTTTTTTGCTCAGAGTGGCTTTTTGACCGCTACCCTACCATAAAGTTTAAAGCTCCTAAGGCGTCTTTTCACAGTTATGACACTTATCGGGTTTTCTCGAGTCAGATTAATCTCCGCAGCTATCTCTGAGGTGACAAGGCGTCGATTGCGTTTACTGATCCTTGCGATATACCTATCATTTTAAGTCGTTTTGCGGTGTCTTTCAGGCCTCTTTGGATTCGATATTGTATTATTGTTGCTTAATCTTTTAAGTATACAATCGACTGTTCTTCGAGCTAGGGTTAATTCTCTGGCAATTCGGCGATTACTTTTACCACTTATATGTAAATTAATTATTTTGCATTTAGTTGGAATAGAAATATCTTTTCTTTTAATCATTTTGGTCGAATGTTCGTTAAAATTTATAAAGACTAAAAGTTTTTTTAAACAAGGATTTAAAACAAAAAAAATCTAGGAATTTTTTTTAAAATAATTAAAAATGAATATTAATAAGCATATTAGGATGTGATTAATGACTTTCTTCCAAAAAACAATGGGCAACTTAAAATTGTTACTGAAAAATACTAATGAACCCTATACCAAATTGGTCATTTTTGACATGTATTTTTTTATGTAAAAATGCAGGGTGGGCAGCCATTTATGGCCGGTAATGTATATATAAAAATATATAAGAAATTATCATGTTTATGAATCTAACTAACAATGTATTATAAACAGAGTTGTTAACACTCTTTTTTAAAAGTAGCTAACTCCCGCTCCTACCTTCTCAAAAGGAGCTAGCTCCCGCTACTACATTTTTAAAAGGAGTTAGCTCCCCGCTCCAAGTAATGGAGCGCCACTCCATAACCGTTTTGATTTTCATTTTTTTAGAAAGTACGCGAAACAGTGTCATATTTTTTATCAAAAGGTTTTATTTTATATTAAATGATCTATCAATATATTTATAATCTTTTATTAGCCTTTAAAAGTAATAAATTTTCTAAATCTAAAAAACATCCATGCTTCTCCCCTATGACCTGTTTTGCAATACTAAATAAGCGCTCCACAGGAGCACTAGGGCGAAGCGGGATATTGTATTTTATAAAGATATTTTTTAATTCAGGTATAAAAAATGAGGTTAAACAAGTAATGAGAAAATTAAAATATATTTAAAAAAGCATTATATCTTACAACCCAGGCTCAACTATAATGAATTGCCCAAAAATAATTATAACCATTTTAAAAAAAAATTATTCTAAAATAAAAAAAATAAGTTATCATTTTGTATTTAAAAGAAAGATTTTTAAATAATTTTTTAGATTGAAACTGCTCACTTTTGAAAATGAAATACTTTTTAAACATTAAAGGCATTTTTCCCTTAAATTTGTTTGATCAACTGGATTAACATCTTTTAGAAGTTTAAAATATTTTTTATATGATGGAAATGGAAATTCGATTTCTTCTATGATCTCTAAATCTATAATATCTAAAACTATTTTTTATTATATATCTATAAAATGAATATTAATATGACTTACAAGATTTTCCAAAAAATTTTCAATATTTTATTATTTAAAATAATTAAATGAAAAACCAATATAAAACTTGGCTCAACATTCATTAATAGATAAATTTAAATAAAATAAAATTTCATTTTTATTGAATTTTAATTAACAAACATTATTAATATTTAAAAAATTATTTAATTTATACTTTAAATTTAAAGGAGCAGTGGAGCGGCGCTCCTCCACTCCAGCCCTAAAAGTAGCTAGCTCCCGCTCCCGTTCCCAGGTGTTTTTGAAAAAATGTAGCGGCGCTCCTATAGCTCCGCTACTTAACAACTCTGATTATAAATGAATGTCTAAAAATCAATAATGAATCAGTTATAAAAATTACTGTCTGATATTTTATTCAAAAGACCAATATTGGGATGAATATGATGTATTCCTAGTTATAAGGGGGTTTATATTTTGTTATTTTAATTTGTACATGTCGTTTTTTGTATATAGATATTTCGCGTTATTAAAAAATTTCAATCACGACTCTACATATTTATCACATTTAACTTAGCGCGCTTTTGTTCAATGATATAAAAAATATCTGAACAAAAATTAATCACAAGAAATGAAAATGTTACACCCTCCGGTGCTCTCCCGCCCTATTTCTTACCATAATCCCAATTTCAACCCTAATTTTAATTCACACCAGCAGCCTTCTTCTTCCTCTCGCCTTTTCGTAGGCGATATCAAGAATGCTGAGAAAGGCGATCTAGAACTGGCCTTTTCCCCATTTGGGACAATCAAAGAGATTTGGATGGCCCATAACCCTCCGGGGTTTGCCTTCGTGGAGTTCGCCGATCGGCAGTATGCTCTCGCCGCCGTCGAGAAAATGAATGGCGTTTTGGTCAAGGGGGACAAACTTCGAGTCGAGTTTTCCAAAGGCCGCAAGAACGGAGGTCTGGGTCGACCTCCCACTCGCAATATGCCCGCTGCTAATAATGGATCTATTTCATATGCAGCTCCACCACCTTCGCACTATCATCAACACCCTGAGCCACCTCATCCCAGAAACGCACCTCCACCTCCATTAGTTCCTCCTTTATACAGTCTGCAGCCACCTCCACCTTATCGTCCACCCCCTCATCAGTCAATTTATAATGGACCGCCTCCGCGTTCTTCATATTCCTCCACACTTGGAAGATCGTCGCAATATGGGTCTTCTGCCCACGTGGTTGATAACCATATTGACAAAATTCAAGACTCATTTTCTCCCCACAATAGGACGCTTTTACCCCCTCCTGGATATTACGTTCAACCGCCACATACACCTATGCCAGGACCTTATCAAGGCCACGCTATTTACAGGCCACCACCATCTTTGTCTACCATCCCCGCCAATAACTCCACGCCCTTTTATTCCAAGCCCTATCCTCCCGGCACTCAATCCGATCATCATCATCCACTGCACTTTAATGCCGACGCTTCTATTCCTCCTAAGAGCACCTCTCTCGCCGATCATCACCGTCAACAGAAATACGAACCTTTTATCGACGATCGTTATAAAGCGGAATTTCTCTACGAACGCGACCGAGATCGAAGAGATATTCAGCATCGTTTTTACCATGAGCCTATCCCACGGGATGCACCGCCCCCATTCCTCGATCCTCTTGAAGCAGCAGGACATGTTGGCCGTTCAACCTCCCCTCATCGCGCTCATTATTATATGTCCCCTCGCCGTCGTTCTTCGCCACCAACCGACATGTACTATCATCGGTACTACCACAACGCGGAAGCCGGTCACATTGAACGGTATATAGTTATAAAAAAAATCCTGAATAATTATTTTTTCGGTGTATATTTCCCCTTTTTAATTTATTAGACATTTATCATAGTTGATAAATATTAGCGATTTATTCCATTTCCCCAACTCCTTTGATAACTTTAGGTTAAATGTTAAAAATTAATTTCTTCCAAAAAAAAAATGAGATTTTAGGCCGACCCCTTTAAAATTTGGTAAGCAAAGAAAGGTTAGTGTAGTTAAGAAATAGCCAAAATTTTAGCCTCGTAACACTTATATTTTTGAAGATATTAGGGTTCAAAGTGACAAAAATGACGTATTTTTACCAGAGTTGTTAATATCTAGATATAAAAATATGGTCTGTATCTAGATAGATTTTTGATTAAAGTATCTGTATCTAGATATTATTTTAGAGGTATCTGTATCTGTTTTTAGATACTTTTTAAGATACATTTTGAAATACTTCTGTTTAACTCTTTTTTATATTATAAATAAATATATTTGAATGTAAAATTTATTTTATTTCATATGAGCATATAACTTAATATTAATATATATATTAAAAAATTATATATATGTAAAATATTAAAACTTATATATAAAAAAGAATATATAAATATTAATTAAATATAATGTCCGAGTTATTAATAACAAGCAAATTCTGATATTACAATTCATCTCAAGGAATTTGCCATTTTTAATTGCAATGGAATTGATATTTTATTTTATTCTATTATATTAATTTTTCAGATTAACATTGAGGACGAAAATGACTACATTCAATGGCCAATTTATAGACCATATTTTAAAATAATATCTCAAAATAAAGAAAACAAATCTCTGTTAGTAAAATGTTTGCCATGTCTATCAAAAAATATACAAATTTCAGTTAGCATTACCTCAACTTGCAATATTGTAAAACATTTAAGGGTATAGATACTAAATAAATGTTTACAATTTTAAATTTTCAGAGAAAACATCAAACACTCCTAATCCAAATAAAAAAGGGGGAGAAAAAAATCTATTAAAGAAAATATTGGACTAGGCTCATCGTCCATTGATTTTTTTCCCAAGAGATCTCAGTCTTTAACCCAAGCCATTTTAGATGATTTAATAACCGATTTTATTATTGATAGCATTCAGCCATTTTCAATTGTTGAAAATCCATAATTTATACAAATATATATAATTTGCAGACAGACAGTGGTTTCTAGAATTTCTCAAAGATGGGGAATGAAAAGAAAGAAATTATTAAAAGTCTAATAGAACCATCGTTAATATGCACAACAGCAGATTGTTGGAGTGCCTATCGCCGGTATAGCTAACATTTAAATTTGTATAATAATTTAATTACAAACAAATTATTTGAGCAGTTTTAAGAAATGTTAATTTTTAGTTCATACATAGGAGTCACTGTACACTATATAGATCCAACAAGTTTGGAAAGAAAAAATGTAGCGTTGGCTTGTAAAAGAATGACTGGTAGTCATACATATGATAAAATAGCAAAAAATTTACAAGATATAGCAAAGGATTATTGCATACAAAATAAAATCTCAAAAACCATTACTGATAATGCCAAAAACTTTATTAAGTCTTTTAGGTTTGTTTTTATTATAAACATAAACATAATATTACTTATTTATGATAGAGTTTTCAAGCCAATTGAAAATATTAGTGAATCCATTGATGATCTGGAAGATAAAGAAACAGTTGCACCAATATCAATATCAGGTCTTTACTACTGCTCAGGATTTTTAAATATCAGAATCATATATTTTACCTAATCATCAATGTTGTGCCAGTCACACATTGAATCTTGTTGCCACTGTAGATGCAAATAAACCCTTGCAGTGTAAACAATATCAGAGGGTAAAACTATCATTTTAATTATAATATTTAATATTTTATTCCTTAGATATATAGCACAACATTGTCTAAATGCCAAAATATATGGAATAGACAAAAAAAATCTCAAAATTCAGCTGAGATTATAAAAAACAATATTGGCCGATATTTTATATGTCCCAATATAATTAGATGGAACTCCACTTATAATGCTTTACGATTAATCAGAAATTATTAAGACTAAATTTGACAAGATTTGCGATGGAATAAAATTACCTAGATTTTTATCTAATGAATGTGATTTTATTCAGGGATCCGAACCGAACCGTTAAACCGCTAAAAACCGGTATTTTTTATCGAACCTAAACCTCTAAAAAATTCTAGCCGAACCTGACCGCTAAAATGCCTCTGAACTGGAGTCTCATAATTTTATGCTTATAAAATAATGTGTAAGTTATTACTAATAGTATATTGCAAAAAATTTAATTAAATTCAAATTGTTTAAAAAATTATTTCAGTCATAATTTTTATAAACTTTAGTATATTGCCATTTTACAACATTTTTTAAATATTTTAAGCTTATAAATTATAATGCCTTGAAAAAAATTAAATCTAATATATAAATTATTTACATATAGTATTATAAATGACACATCAAATCTGATATCATACTGGCTATGCCAGCTACCTAAGTTAGTGTGGAAAGATGTTTTTCAACAATTAAATTTATATTATCTCCTTATAGATGTAATTTGAGTGAGACGAATTTTGAAAATATATTAATTGTGCGGCTTAATAAAAAAAATTTTAAGTAATTTGTTCATATTAAAATTAATCATTGATATATTTATTTGTTATATTTATAAATTAAATATTATTTTATAATGTCCAATTAATAAAAATGAAGGTTTTTATTTTAATTATGAAATAAAAATTTTTTTCCTTATACATAGTCCTAATGTAGGTTTGAATATAAAAGTGTTCAAACCGTTTTTTAGAGGTTCGAACCGAACCAAATTTATTTTTTGTCAACCGAACCTGAACCTTGAACCGTTATTATCCGAACCTGAACCGAACAGATATTCGTTTCGGTTTGGATCCCTGATTTTATTCATAAATATTGTTTAGTAAGTTATAAATAAAATTTGTATATACAGCATTATTTTAAATTAGCTAATGAAGCCGGTAGCAAGTTCACTTGATATCCTGCAGGGAGATAAATATATGTTCACAGCTTATTACTGTGCAACTATTTCCTAGCTCATTATTAAATTGAAAAAATTTCTGAAATTTTGTTTACCACTCTTAAATACCTTACTTAAAGGGATTGAAGATAGGTAAATTAATAATAAATTAATCAATATTTAATAATTCTAGGTTTATTGGGACAATTTTGAAGATGAAAATATTTTGGCAACTATGCTTCATCCTTTTTTTAAGGGTCATTCCATGTCAAATGAGCAAAAAAAATGAGATTTTCGGCCGACCCCCTTCGATTTTTTTAAAATTTAGTAAGCAAAGAAAGGTTAGTGTAGTTAAGAAATAGCCAAAATTTTAGCCTCGTAACATTTATATTTTTGGAGATATTAGGGTTCAAAGTGGCAAAAATGACGTATTTTTACCATTATCTGCCTTCATTCAATTAAGCATATCTTAAAAACTATCTAATTGTAAATAACAAATTTAATATCAAAATTACGTACAAAGATTCTACTTTTAGATAAAAAAAAAATTTTTTTTTTCAATTTCCGGCCATTTTATTAAATATATAAGGACTAAAAACGATTTTTTAGAAATTATACGACCTTCAATTTTTTTAAAAAATTTAGTAGACAACACTGAAATCTTCCTTTATATTTATAAAAAAAAATTGGTCTGGGACGAGGCCATCTTCATTCTCAAAATCGATAAAAATGTTTAGAAAAGTGTATAAATATTTTCCCGAAAGGGGGCGTCTTTGCATAAATTTATATTTAAATCAGTTTTTAATGATTTTTTATAGACTATTTGATATAATTTAAAGGAGTATTTATCTTGTAAGTGAAAATAACAATAAATGGGGCTTTCATTCAATTATAGAAATTGCCTATCGATAAAAGAAATTCAATTTATTACTTTATTTATAATTTTTTATAAAATTTTTTGCTAATATAACATATATTAATATTAATAAAATATATTCAACCAAATTTATACTTCTTGAATATATGAATCAGAATCTTTAGCATTTCATATATGGCGCCCTAAATATTAAAAATAATTGATATAATATAAATTTTAAAATCTAATATATAACTCACTTTTAAAAGATTCTAATTTTTCGGTAGCGCATTTACTTTCTTGTGACGACAATGTGTAACTACGGCCAGTAGCAGTTAACGGTGAAACTAATGTTAAGATATGACATTTTGGCAAGTAGAGAGTGTCGTCTATACTTGGAAATGTAAAGGAATTAGAAGGTCCGGATGGGTGTAAAAACTTTATATATATTTCTTCCTCCATTTGATTTTTCCCTAAAACTAAGGCTAACCACCAATTAGAATCATAAACACATGTTATATACCCTGATATCTCTCCAAAAATGATACTTTCATCATTATATGATAAATATTCTATATTACTTTCTATTGAATTGGAATACATTTTACTCTTAAATTGATGTAGACCTGTGGGAATCACCGTGTGAATTTTCTGTGTTCCAGGTATAGGTCTCGTTTTTGAAAACCTTTCCCTGAGTAATATTTCTTCGTGATCATAATTTTCTTGGGTCATATATTCAAAATATATGCCATTAATATTTTCTTTAGCGAACTCGTACAATTCATATGATGTGGTTATTTGCTTTGAGTAAGGTTTTTGTAAACTAGCTCTAGCGGCTAATCTTTTAACAGTGCCACCAATCCCATCACAAACACTTTTCCCATGTGCTGTAGCAGAAAAATGCCATTCCGCCTGTATCCCGAAATTCATCTCATGATGGCAAATATTAACAAAATTTTTACGATTTTTATACTGTGCAGCAGATCCATCGGAAAAATAAAAATTTTTATTTGGCATACAAATTTTATTAATTAAAAAATTTACCAATGTTTTTTGGAAATAATGTACTGCTATTGTATTGTGTTGCAAAGATTCGGATATCATTCCATAATTTAGGCAACAA